CAATAGACTTTAAGTATTTTTTTTAAAAGGAAATTTTAAAATTGAAACAAACGCTCCCATTATCATTAAATATATTTTGTTATATGTATCAAATATATTTGTATTAGTATACAAAACTTTCTTTACTTTTAAATTTTAATATAAATGTCATTTTATTATTTGACGAAAGTTATGTACTCTTTAACGTTTTTTTGTATATTTTATTTATATTTGTTTATAAACACGGGCAATTTGTAAACGGGGCTCGGCGAAAAGACAGTCATTGTCTTCTTCTTGCTCCGGCCAAATTTTATGAATGTAATATGTCTATATTGTAAATATATGAAACGGCAAAAAAAAAAAAAAAAAAAAAAAAAGATAGTTTAAATCTAATCTTATTTTACTGTTGTCGTTTTATTTTTTTGTATTTTGGAATTAGTTACAAATAATTTCTTTTTTTTAGTATCACAAACAGTTTAATTTAGCGATGATATTGTGAACCTTAAAGAAGTGAAAAAAACTATTCATCTAAGCATTGATACCGACATATATTAAGAAGCACAGATTAAAAATGAGTTTTATCTTAAGAAGCACAGATTAAAAATGAGTTAAATGCGTTAAAAATCTAAGTTCAAAAAGACTGATTGACCAAAAGTAATATGCAAATGGTAAAAGGTAGTTCTACAACTGACTTTATGATTGTTGATGAATATGTTCAAAAAAATATAAAACAAGATGAGATAAAAAATGAATAAGAATAAGCCAGAAATAATTACAAAAAACATGGAATTTTTTCAAAAGGCAGTGATGGTGCTATTTAAGTGTTGGATCTATGATGTGTTGGATCGTTTGTGTAGTAGTACTCTGCATTTGCTATTTGTGTAGTAGTAGTACTCTGCATTTGTGTAGTAGTACTCTGCATTGCGTAGTATTGCAGTATCTGCATTACTGTATGTATGTAGTATGCGTAGTATCTGCATTACTGTTTGTGTAGTAGTACTCTGCATTACGTAGTAATGACAATGTTATCTAGCAAAAAGTCTCTTGCATTATTTCAACATAATTAATTTTAGTTGTTTATATTTGTTGATATAATATGCCAATAGTTAAAAGCATGTCGAAAATAGACGAAACAATTTTATTCTGAAGATAAGATTTACGATGTGCAACACAAAACTGATTAAACTTCAATTGACAAATGGGCTCTTACATAAAATTGTTGTTTCTAAGTGTATATTCAATTATTGTTTTCAAACAAAAGAGATCTTTGAAAACGGGTGAAGATATGTCATTTTTCCACATATACATCAAGCAAAAAACATTAAAAACATTAACCCCATAAATATTGAGAACTTTTATTTAAATAGAAAATAGTTCAGAATGAGGTTATCGATCCGCAAAACTAGTTAAACGGATCGCATGTTACTGACGGCGATAAAGCCGATTCAACTTGCTTTTTTCAGTGCATCTCCATGCACCATTAGCATAATTTAAATAATCATGAATTAATAAGTAATTTTTTTTTATTGTTATTTAGGTGCCCAAGAAAGACCTAACGGTCTTGTCACAGAGCACCGTGGAAGTGCTTTAACCAGGAAGTTCACGCCTCCTTCCTTACCTTAACGCGAAAATATATCCAAGGCTCGTTTCGAACCAGGATCTCCTGCTTATAAAACAAGTGCTCTAACTACTGCACCACGCCGAAATTGTTTCTGGATCATTTACAAGTAAATCTCCAGTATAATAAAGTTGAGTTAGACTTTTTTTTATATAAATATGTTCTGGTTTTATATAAAATTCCAATATTTTTAGAAATTTTTCTCCTAATATAGTTGATATGCGTTTTCCATGTAAAGTTTTCATCAAGAAAAGCACCTAAGAACTTTGTTACATTATGTCTTTTAATTTCAATATTATCATTAAAAACTTTAAGCAAACTTCGGGGTAAATAAGCTTTTTTTAAGACTGGGTGGAAAAGAACCCAATTTGTTTTTTAATATTAAGAGTTAGTTTATTGCATTTAAACCACTTGGATATATCTTCAAGTTCATCATTCATGGTATAGAAGAGTTTATAAATGTCATTGTTTGAAAAGAATAAGTTAGTATCATCAGCAAACATGATACTCATTAAATTTGAGGCTTTGTTTAGGTCGTTTATATAAATCAAGAACAATAGTGGTACCAAAATAGAACTTTGTCGAAAGCAACATAAAATATTTAGAAACTTATTTGGATGATCATTATTGCCGAAGTCAACTTTTGAACCATTTTATATCTTTACAATTTATTTTATATTATAAAAACTGCCGTGGCGCAGTGGTAGCACACTTGCCTCAGAAACGTAAGATCTGTGGTTCAAACCCCACCTCTGGGCAAGCTTTGCGACATCGGTTGGGAAAGAGGCGTGAACTTCCTGTTAAATGCTCTTCCGCGGTGCTCTGAGATAAGACCGTAAGGACTTCTTGGGGCACCTAAAATCAACATAAAAAAAAAAAAAAAAAATAATATTTTAGCTTCTGTAGTAAAATTTTATGATCGACAGTATCAAATGCTTTCAAAAGGTCGATGAAAACACCTAATGTATATTTAGACTTTTCAAAAGAGGTTTCACGTACAAATTGGATAACTGCATGTTCTGCGGAATTATTTCTTTTAAAGCCGAATTGATAGTTGTATAAAAATTATTAGAATGTAGATAATTGTATAATCTACTGTACATAATACGTTCTAGTGTTTTTGAAAATGTGGAGAGGACGGAGATAGGACAATAATAAATGATATTTGTTTGATCACATTCTTTTAAAATTGGAGTAACTAGCAATTTTTAGTTCTTCAGGAAAAACTCCTTGGCGTATAGACTTTAAATTGGATAATTTTTAAGTATTTAAAATATTCTATGACTATATTAACGTTTATGTCATCTACTCCGGTTGATTTTTAAAGAGTTTTAAAGATAGTTCAGAAGATAATTTGTTGGAACCAGTGCAATTGTCCACTTGTACTAAAAAATCACTAAATGTAGCATTTATAAAAAGAATTTTGTTTGCTAATTTGTGACCTATATCTACAAAGAATTTAGTAAATTCATGAGCTATAGCTCTTGATTCGCATATATGTTTGTTATCAACTATAATTGATGGGGGAGAGAATTTGAGCATCATTTTTGTCTGCCACTAATTTTATTCATTGTTTGCAAGTGCGTTTAAAGTTATTTTTAAATTTATCTATGAGTCTTGAGTAGTAACTTTTTTTCAAGTTTTTATTAACTTTTTCAAATAGGTAATTGTATTCTTTTTATATTTTTTTATTTGAAGATGATTTTGTTTTAAGATATTTTATATCAAATTTCTGTTTTATTTTTGATGATTTTTTAAATAACCTGGTCACCCATGGGTTGGTTGTACTTTTTGGATTTATTGTTTTTACAATGATAGGAAAATTAGCGTCATACACATAATAAAATTTTTCAAAAAAGTTATCGTAAATTTTGTCAGCATTATCATTTAATTTAATATGTTTCCATTGTAGGAGTGATAGTTGGTTTTTAAATTGTTTTATATTGGTTTCGTCAAAAGTGTGTAATTTAATTTGATTTAATTTGGTTATATTTTCGAAATTTAATTTAAGCAACAAAAGTGTAGGAAAATGATCAGATATATCCGACTTTAGTATACCTGTTCGGATATCATTGTCGGATATATATGTTTGGATATCATTGTCGGATATATATGTTGTAATGATATTATCAATCAAAGACGTTGAGTTTTTTGTCACTCTCGTTGGACGATTAATCAAAGGGATCGCTCCAGTTCCGAAAAAAGACTCGTAAAAGTTTTTAATTTTATTACCTTCACTGTATAGAAAATATTAAGGTCCCCAATAATAATGGTATAATAACCATGGAAACCAATCATGGAAATCTTTTATTTTTCTTTGAGAATTTTTCTGTTCTTCTAATTTGTTGATAATTATTTTTTCTATGTTTTTAATCGAAATTTTCATTATTATATAACAATTAAAACACGCTGTACAAAAAACACGTTTGTTCGCTTCGATAACTAATTATAATGCTTTATTTTTTGTTTTAAACAGTCAGGGGCGGATGAAATGATTTTTGATGTTTGATATCCAAACATTTACATGTTTAAGAATGGCACTTTATTGCACATAAGAAACTTAAATTAAATTATTGCGCGCTTTATTTTATAATAAAATGTTAAACTCAGAAACAATAACATTAAAAACAATATATTATTAGAATAAAAAATAATAAAAATAATTTCAAGTAGTCGAAAAAATTTTTTTCAGGTAAGTTCTTTTTAAATGATGAATCATTTTAAGTTGTATTTCAAATAAGATATTCAAAAATGGTGGCAAAAAAAAAAGTTTAATACAATATTTATTCGTTTTAGGTAAATTTACTATAAATTCGACTTTTCTTTTTCAATCAAACATATTTAATAAAAATTTATATTGTTGTAAAAATACATCTGTAAAAATATCACGATCGACGAGTTTAAAACTGTCTAACTATAAACACGAACTGCTATGAACACATATTACATTAGAAAATTATAACTATGCAGTAATCTAAATAAATCACTACAAGTTATTTAACATTGGAAAAAAAAATTTACTTATCGTATGATATAGCAAAATATAAATCTGTTGCCTGGTGTCCTACACACAATAGGGTTCAGGTATATATATGTA